CCCAAAAAAAAAAAAAAAAAAAAAAAAAAAAAAAAAATATATATATATATATATATATATATATATAAATTGGGTGGATGGATGAAAATATGCATATGTTTAGGCTTTTCATTTTAAAAATGCATTTTGGTACATGCTGCATATTCGTACAGATTTTACATCTGAACATAATTACAAAAGTATTGCAATATGGTGATACTACGGTGCTGCACGTTTGGCTGGAATAAGAACAATTAGAGGATTTTGCGACTTTATACACTGCACACTTCTGTTATCTATCGTGAGTCTAATCAACTGACTTTGTATATGAAAAATCAGGACAAAGGAGCAGAAGGTCGAGGTAAAATTGCTCGAATTAAGAGGCGGCTTCTTTTAGTCGAAGTTGAAGAATGGATAATGCAATTCCAAACCAGCATGGAGCAAGGAATGGTAAAGTCCTAATTTGTTATAGAATACTAAATAGCTGAATATTATTGTGCTGTTGAGTTACATACCATTATAAATTTGGGGATTGCACAATTTTTTTGTTTACTCTAGATATTAACTTATATAACACCCAAACCTTTAATATCACATAAAACATATTATTTATATTAAATTTTCTAAAATAAATATACCTTCTCAAACATAGATTTTGATGTGATTATGTACAAACGTATTATAGAAATAAATATCAAAGTTTATGTATTAGATAATATATATATACACGTAAGAATTTATGTGAATTTTCCTAGAAGAATTTTCTGCTAATCTTGCTTCTATTCAGAGGTTGCCAGTGGATGCTTCTTGGCTTTCTTTTCTTCCTCACGAATTTCTTTTGAAGTAAACTATAATTGATATAAAGGGTTATTTTATGAGTAATTTATAAGCCTATATAGGTAAGGGGGCTCAGGACATGTTATCGTTGTTTTAGGTTTTGGCTTAATTAATCTATTCAAACAAGATTTTTTCTCATTTTATTCATAGGGTATGCCTAATTTATGAAATTCGATTACTTTTCTAAATTCATGTTAGAGTATTGAATAAATTTACATATTCTTGACCCCAGTTACTTTTCATGATTCAAATTCATGACTTTAAACTCATGAATTTAAACTCATGATTATGAAGGAAACTAACCATGAAGACCATTCCTCGTCTTAGAATGATGTACCTAATGCATTGAATTTTCACCCACGAAGATCTGGTAACATTATACTATGTGAACTTAATTATGAGATATAGAAATAGTATTTATTTGACTCAAAGTCATAATCTCCATTTCACAATGGGCACAACCTAATCATCATTCATGGCCCTCCCAAAAAGCTTGTTCTCTTGTATAACTGTAGAGTTAAATTTTTGAAGAATATTTATCTCAAGGATAAATTTAAGTTGATTTTAGCTAACAAATAACATTTTGTTTTATTCAATATACTACAGGATTCACCCTTTAAGGGATGTAGGTCATTAGAGAGCTTAAAAGCTTTGGTTGTTCTTTTAATTTAGTGATGTAATTCTATGGTGAATCACTTGGTTAATAGTACCTCAGTAATAAGCATGCGTCATTTGGTAGCAAAACCACTTGTTGGTGTGACATTCTTACTGGCATGAGATTTTTAAGAGTCATCATAAAATTATGCTTGATATAATTGACTTTTGTGAGCTTATGTTAATTGTAACTTAGTCATCAACAAAATATTGTGGTTGGTAGATGTAGTTTTTTACCTTGTGATTTATTTCAATTGAACATTTTCAAATTTTGTATTTTTTTAATTTTTATAATTTATATGGAATTTCATCTTGAAATAATTTACTTTGAGATTTTGGAAGTTTCTTAAAAAATAGTCCTCTCAAGTTAAGATTTTGTCTACACATCTATCATCGAAGTAGATTGTATGAAGTACTTATATTTTAAGAGTTTTTTTTAATAGTAAACCCTCCGATCATATTTTTGACGGTTGTAAAATGTATGATCACTTAAGTCGATCATATTTTCGATAACTTCAGTAAAAAGTATATCAAAATTTCTCGCCCACCTTTATTGAATTTTTTTCTCTAAGAAAAACATGTTCTTCCTACAATGTGTGTTTCATATATATATATATATATATTATGAGAAAGCTCAAAGGCTAATATATTAAAAGGGAATAATGATACATAAAGATTCTGTGGAAGGGCCCAAGCATGGCACCCGTCCCCCACGATAACCATCACATACAAAAAGTTCCAAAAAAATAGAAAATACATAAAAATACAAGATACCTAAGTAAAAAAAATAAAAAATGTCAAAAAAACGTAGTATCAGGTAGCTAGAGAGCGACCCAATTTTCTTTTGCATCTACCTTTAGTTCTAGGAAAGGAGCGAGATAATAAATTGGTAAGATGAGTGTCATTGTCAGTAGTGACCAAAGTATCATCCAATAAGTTTCCAAGCTCGAGTCGGCCTCAAGTCTCTTCTTCTTCCTCCTGGAATAGACCTGTCATTCTTCATCCAAAGATTGGCTCGCCTGATCAGTGGATTGGTCTAAAGTGTGTTGGACATGTGTAGGAAGTTGAACATTAGAAGTAACCCCAGCTGATCTTTGATTGAATCAAAGAAGCACTCTCGTGTGTCTTAGCATGCAAGTGAGTCTTCTTCAATAACAGTGAGTGGTATAAACACTTTTGAATCTGTACCTGTAGTATGATGTTCTTCATCAGGAACTGCGATGTTGGGTAAAGGATTAGTTTGCACCTTCTCAGCAGGGATGGTAGGTGGCTGATCTTTAGCGATATCCAAAACCTGTCTTGTGGTAGCTTTCTCTCCAGATGGAACAGATTTTTTATAGAGTAGTGAGATTAGATCCATCCTTATTGGCTTGATCTTTAGATTTCAAATTAGGATGAAACTTATGACATTTATCAAGTGTATGCCCAAACATCTTACAATGAGAATAGTAAGGCTGTCTATTCTCCATGACGATTTTTTGTCAAGATCCATTATGAGTTGTGTCCAACCAGACTTCAGTAACGTCAGGTAAAGTAATATCTCTTTCCACAAGTATTATGGTCATAGAGAGTCTGGTTAGGTAGAAAGTCGGTAGATCTAGCTTCGTAGGGTCTTCAAGTATGTCCCCAATAATGTCCCAAATAAAGTAAAGAACCTGATGATGAAAAAAGTGCAGCTTAAGACCTGGTAGACTGAACCATTCCGGTGCAGTAGGAGATTCATGCTTAGGGTCAAAATCAGGAGACCACTTGAGTAGCTTCATTGATTTACCAACAATCCTTAGATATTTTTTGGAGAAAATCGGAGTATAGCCTTCAGGCACGGTTTATTGGATCAATACATGTCTCTCATCCATGAGTCACACTTTTCACTTTCCTGCTAATTTGAGATCATCAAAACTTTTCCTGATAACTTTCATAGGTGGGTGCTCCCACTGAAATTTTTCAATAAGAGCAAACTTGAATTTGTCAATCAGGGTTTAAATTTCTAACTCCGAGAAAAAGAGTGTTGTTTTCCCATTTTTCCTGCTTGCATTCTTCATAAATGAGCAATCATCTGTACCATCACGATATTTCTTATAACTTGAGGGGAAAACAACCACAGTTTCCACCTGAGGATTACCCACCTCGTGGGCAAAGGAGGCTTTGTCAGGTTTAACTGAAGAAGAAGGAAACTCCATCACAGCTTAGAAGTCTGCCAAGTCGGTCAGAGGGCAGGTCAGGAACCGAAGAGACCAAAACTCGGTGCAGTCGAGTTGTCGAGCTGAGTCGAGAAGGAAGATGAAAGGAGGAAACGAGGTGAACCCTTCTCGGCTTCTGTGAGATGTAATATATATATATATATATATATTTATATATATATATATATCATTCCTCCCTTACACTAACACCGCTGCCACGATTCGATGACTTAGGGTTTGGCCTTTGCGTGATGAACTCTCGTGATACGGTCGCATTTGCAGCCTACTGGGACGTCAACGACACGCTCAGGCGTGCCCTAGGATAGCATCGCTAGCCAACACCGACCTAGCGATTCTGTCTGTGTCTCGGCTTCGCTAGTCAGCACCGCCGACTGTTTTACGCTCTCAACAGAAGATGCGACTGCTACGGGATTTCGGGACAGCAGGAGACGCCGACAGGTATGGGATCTATTATAGCCTCGACGATGCGTTTCTATGCCAATGCACTTGCCGACGACTTTTCTATTCCTACTCGTGCTCCTCTTTTAGGTTCAAAGTCTGGTTTTCATATTGGCAAGTCCTGCAATATTCCTCAATCTTTCCACGATGCACTTGAAGATGGTGGTGATTACGCTTTCATTCAAAAACTTGATAAAAAAATGGAAAGTCTGCTTTTATTTTCACTGAGGTTGAAACAAGTACTCTCGTGTCCTCTTGGCGTTTTGCTCTAGCAGGAAAATTCTTTTATGGTTACCCAAAACTGGAGATTATTCAGAAAGAGTTTGATGCTATGAAGCTATTGAGCAGTTGGAATATTGACTTATTTGACGGTCGACATATACTTATTCAGTTATCTCACGATGTCGATTACACTCACGTTTTTTCTCGAAAAGTTATCAAGCTTGACAACCATTTTATAAAAATTCTGAAGTGGAATGCCGATTTTGATCCAAAAGCGGAATCCCTATCATTCCTGTTTGGATAAAATTTCCAGGGTTAAAATTTCATCTGTTCAACATGAAAATTTTTTACTCGTTGGCAACTGCTTACGATAAACCTCTCAAGATTGATAGTCCTGATTGATAGTCCTACGCTTGCCGCTTGCTGTCACCAGACCCTATGTGGTTTGTGTGTTAGTTGAGAGAGATATCACTCAACCAGTTCCGGATGAGGTATGGATTGATACCACTCACAACGGGTATTTGCAAGAGGTTGAAATAGAACCACACCCTTCTTTTTGCTCCCATTGTAGTATGTTTGGTCACAATTCTACTATTTGTTATCGCTTGCATCCTCATCTAAGGCCGAATATAGCTAAAGATCAGCGACCTATCATCCCTGCGGAGAAGGTACAACCCAATCCTCTTTCTAACACCGCAGTTCCGGATGAAGAACACCATACTACTAGTATAGATTCAAATGTGTTGATACCACGCACTGTTATTGAAGAAGACTCACTTACATGCTAAGACACACGACAGTGCTCCTTCGATCCGATAAAAGATCCGCTGATACAACAAGTATTTGCTTATAATGTTCAACAACCTACAAATGTTCGACATACTTTAGACCATTCCACTGATCAGGTGAGCTACTTTTCAGATGAGGAATAACAGGTCTATTCCAGGAGGAAGAGAGGAAGAAGAAGAACGAAGAAGAACGAAGGCCGACTCGAGCTCGAGAATTTATTGGATGATACATTGGTTACTACTGACAATGACATTCATCTTGCCAATTTATTAGCTGACTCCTTCCTTAGAACTAGATACAGAGGCAAGA